TTAAGAGTGCGATGTGATGTCTACTTAAACAGAGATTTTAATGTCGGCATTATTCCATTTTCGGTGTGGTTTTTCGACAATCGCATATATGAGCGGCATCACAACATCTTACTCACACAGAGTGTGAGAAAGGGAGAAACCGTACATTTCATTCACATTTCCGCACTTGGCATTTTCTTGCTACCAAAATATTGTGCTCTGCCAACGTAGTAATTGCTTCTGTGGACTTTTGCATAAATTATTTTCCAAGTGAATATAAGAGTTAATGCACTAATTTTCCCTCATTGATTTTTCCTACAGCTCCATTCGGAGCCCCCCCGGTTCAGTCCGATTATTATTTATGCGGCGCATAAATAGAATGCGACACACTCTGTCATTTATTATGCAAACGAGAGCGAGAATATTTCTGCCTCGTCGAAAATTAGTATTGCCCGTGAATACGTTTAAAAACCAACAATGAATTATATTTCCATCGTCTCGGCCTCTTTCGGTGGAACAATGAACGTGTTACGATTCGGGAAATAAAATTTGATTTAGATTTTGCAATATCTATGTAGTTTTTGGTTTAGATTGTTTTTATGAGTGTTCCGCTTTGTTGACTTTAAACATTCATATTGTTATTAAAAGCCCTAACATTCGAAAATGCGACACTTGAGCTCGACCATCGTGCTATTAATAGCCATGCGATAATAATCCAAATTAAGAACCAAAATGCGTTAATTCAAATCGGATTTTTTTTTTCGAGTTCTCAAGAAGCTTCGCATACAAATTGAGTGTGAGTTGAATCGCCATAAGCATTCGCTCCAGAGCATACTGATTGTCATGGTCGTTAATTTATTCGGTGTGACATGTGCTTCAAATTATTTATCCAGCTGTTGTTGTCTTGGATCTTCAAACTCACCAATGTCACCAAATCGACTTAGGATTATTATTGCGAACGCGTGGTTTTACTATTCACTCACAATGAACATAGACAATACAAACAACACTGTACAAATGGAAATACAATATTCCACTTCCAATATCAACGCAATGAATTATTTATAATTGGTTTATTTGCGAATAAATGTTACACAATTTCATTTGAGACGTATTGCCATCTTTATTTAAACATTTATGACTTTCTTCAAATATTTAACATATTCATTCAATGAATTTCGTCAGTCTGACAATTTTTTTTCTTCTGCTGAACGTTTTTCTATGTGAGCTCGAACTACAATGTTTTCACCGAAAATCTAAGTAATCAGTAGATTGACGACTAAACTTTGGCTTGACCAAGCATTTTTTTATATTGCCTCAAAATTGGATTTTTATTACTTTGATTACCTCCATAAGCCCCAGACAAATGGACAATTTTACCTTTATGTGCCATCAGGGAAATCCACTTCAACCAAAAGCATTCGATACAATGTAAAAGCATTTCATAAATGCGACTGACTTTGTTGAAGGATCCTTGTAATGTGAACCTTATATCACCTTATATGTGGAGAGAAATGACTGTTAGTGGTGATGAATTTGATGGCGAAGATTTCCGGACAGAAGATTTCTTTGGAGCGATCTAAAAATCATATGAAAAATTCAATTTTTTTGCAAGTGATTCGCATTTTTTGATGATTTTCTTTAACAATTTTATCGCAAAATTTTGGTCATTCAAAAATCATTGCCAAAACCAATCGTTATTGTCCACTCTAATTGTTTTCCATTTCAATATCAAAACCATTTCAATAAAATTAACCACTTTTCTATTAAATCTACGAATAAGTGAGCGAATGAAGTAATTTCGTAACGGTTCATCCGTCAAGTTGGTAAATGCATTCAAAATGGGTTACATCAATGTTCGAAATCCAAAGTCCCAAAATAAAATGAAGTTCAAGTGATTCACTTGAGCATCAAATCTCAATGAAATGCCCGTCTACATTTGTTTAAGAATTGCCCAAAATCTAACCTTATGCAGCAAAATGGGGAGTGAATATAACTACAATAACGTGCAAAATTGATGTGCGAAAGACAAAGTTTGCGACTCTCGATGAGAATAAGCTGTATTTGCATTTTAAATTCAATCATACGCCACTTAAATTGGCAAATTGATTCTTTATCTTCGAACGGTTTGTGAAGTAAAGCACAGTCTTTTCGCCCGTTGAGAGCTAGATAAGCTTAGCAGAGGAAGTATGGGATGTGTGCATCAATTGTATAAACTATTGTAATGTTACTGACGCCACTGCCGAAAAGTCGAATCTAATTTCATGGTATACGGTGCGATAATAATATACTAGATAAACTTGCTCTTGCTTCGAATGTGTAGACTAGTCAAATGCGTATCTTGAACCACTCATGAATATATATCTGATTGTGAATTGGCATCATTTTCATCCTTTGTCTTTTGATTCAATTGATTTTTGGTTACATTCGAAAATGGCAAATGGAAAAGGCATGGCAGCGATTGAGAGTTCGTTGATATTTGCAACACAAACTCAATTATAATTTCTAAAAAAACCGTATCCGATTTATTGAAGACCATTTCATTATTGTTTTGATTAATATTTCAGTTCAATTCGTCGTATAATCGATGAAGACCATAATTTAAGGTGAAGTAACTCCTTAATAGCACCTAATAAATTCTGCTTTCAATGAAGTACTTTTATATTTTGCAAGATCACGTAATCGCTCTTTATTTTTATGACTTCACGAATAATAATGTGCAATAAAATTTGATTAAATGGCCATAATTGTCGGTGTGTAACGGTTTATTTCCACGCAATCCATAATATGTTCGATGCGATCGAGTATCTTCGGCGATTTATTGACGATGAAAAAAGGCAATGCGAATCAAGTGAAGAATGTCGAATAGGATACGAAATTATTTGCAATTTGCTTCACGCCGTTTTGTTGAATTGGGTTTTAATGCATTATGCAATCGATTGTTTTGTCACATCCGCACACTTTAGCGTCTGGGTGTTTGTTTTGCAGTTCAAGCTTCGATTGCTTTATCGCTCCCCTGGGTGACGTTCTCGTTTCCATTTCATTCTAAATATTGTTAGCAATTTTGTTGCTCGCATCGACATGCATTGCAATTCGGAATTTGGGGCGTCTAGGCACTGTGCGTTGATATTTCCCATTATTATCTTGATTTTTAACTCCTTTATTTACAAGAATTTGATTGTCTTTTTCTCTCTCACTCTTTTGGAGTTATTTAAAAAAAAACACATCGAATAATTTGTCGTTAGAGCGAGAGAATTTGTTGTAGTTCGTTTGTTTGGTTTAAAACTATTGGATTTTCGACATGGTGTGACGGAAACCGACGACAAATCTGTGGACTTTGTTTCACTTTGACATTCGAATCATCCACACAATAGAAGAAATGGAACTGAAAATAGAGACACTGAGTTCCGTTTTGTACACATTTTACTGTCTTTTTTGTAGTTTATGAGTCCAATGGAAATATCCGCACAAAATGTGCTCAGCGAGAAATACAGTGAAAAGCAAGAGAGGAAAAACGAGAAATTATATAGAAGTATTTCAACGTTGAGATATATTCGGTTTCTAAAATCCAACAATCGACTTTCTTTTTCGGGGACAAGATGCACGCGAGCCCACATCGACGAAGGGACCAAAGCCTTTTGCCACACACATAAAGTCAAAAGAAGCAAACGAATAAAAAAATATACTCCAACCAGCAAGAAATTACGATTTACATTAGATGATGCGGAATGCGAATAAAGCCCATTAACTTGCACATTCAGAGCTACCGAAAACCAAGATCGACCATACATTGTATCTTTATGTGATCCAAAAATTAAAGGGAAAATCCTTTCGCTATGGATGATACCGATATTGTTCGCTCCTTTCCTTTCTTTCGCTCTCTCGCTTCCTTACTCCGTCGGTCGCTCACTCGTTCACACTTTTTTTTTGTCGGTCGTCGAGAGAAGAAAGAAAATTCATTGTCTCGAAATGCATGCTAACGAAAAAGGGTTAGCGCCATGAGTGTAGAATATCGCTTACGCGAAAATCTAACAAGCTCATAAATTGTCTCCTTTGTATAATGTGTGTGTGCGTGTTTTTGGTATTGGTTAATGCATGTTCGCTTTCACTGTATATTTCTTTACAGTTCGTTGAACGAATCGTTTCCAAAATCTCTCCATGCACAAATCTCCGTCCCATGCAACTCTTTTCTTTTCGTTTTTGTCTTTTCGATATTTCTTTTTTTTTCTCTCTCTCTCTTTCTTCCTCGTCGTTCTCATTCAAACTAAATAACTGGAATTATTCACGGCTCGGTGATTTAATTTATTTGCAAAATATTAAACGGAACTTTACAAAATCGTTGTAAATGGATAATAGAATATCGTAGTCAATAGAAAATGGACGCAAAAAAAAATCAGCTCGCTTTTTTTCCAGAAACCAATTATTGTTATGTCATTGTTTATTGAAATCATCGATGCTGAGACCGATTTGAACTGAATCTGTCAATCGTTCATAAGATAAAAAATCATCGAAACGGAACAACGAATAAAAATAGTAACATCTCTGTTGTTGCCATCATTTGAAATGTTCAAATGATGGTTCGAATATCGTTGTTTATCGCCCATGTTTACCAATTCATCGTGTGTAGGTAAAAGTGTGGCAGAAGTATTTTTAGAAGCGAAAAGCACTTCGGTGACCAGGCGAAAACTTGTTAAGGATTGAATTCCATTGTGTATTGTTTGGCATTGGTATTCAATGTTTTGTTGTCATTCGTGTGTATCGATCTTTCTTGTGTTTACCTGAGTGTCTGAACAAAGTTTTTTCGTCTTCAACTACACTTTAATATATGTTACGATAAAAGTATTTTATAAGAAAGTTCTTTCCATTTTATCGACAAGCAAAAAATGGATGTTGTTCTTCCGTATTTTTAATTTTATATGTGTCAGTTGTGGATGCAATTTTCCAACTATTTGTCTGCACCCATGGGAAATGTTAAAATGGACAATAGACACAGTTTGGAAGATACAGGTAAAATACGGCGATTTTGGTAGTTAGCATTACATCGATGTTTATTTGAGTGCTTTTTGGTAAGAATGACAATTCCTTTTATGGTTTCAAAATGAGAATTATAAAAAAGACGAGAACACATGATATCCATTGTTATCAAAATAATATAAGCGATACGATTGCTCTTATTTATTGATTAATTGTTGTACTTTGAGTGGTTCCAATTCATGTGAGTCGTCTTTTTGTTTTTTAGTTATTTCTCCTTTGCCCTCACCGGAATCACAGTATAAATCTAAATGTTTACCGTAATAACCAATCATGAAATCAAAACAAAGGGCTGTAACCAAGAAAAACGCTCTAGCGGAATGAAAGTAGTGCCGAAATTTAACTGGATCATATAAGAGGCAGTTGCCTTGTTGTCCACCTTTATAGTTCCATATCAAACACGTACTATCGATAATATATCCAAAAATTATCGGGCACGGGATCGAACCGAATAAACTAGACATAAATAGCATGAAGCCTTGAGCTAACGCTTTATCTTGTGGTTCGACTGATCTGCAAAATATTTGAAAGTTTCCTCCAATTAGTTGCTATTCTTTAAAGTCAATTATTTAACAGAAGAGATTCAGATTTTTTTAAAACATTTTTTGCAAATTAAAGAAACGGCAATTATAATTACCGTATACTAATTAAGAAGAATGACAATGTAGTTGTGCTAGAGAGAAAATATGATATCATTGAAATAAATGTGTATGCATAGTAATCAGAATCACAATTTTCAACGCATCCACCAGATGCAACTTGGTGCTCCTTCGATTGTAGTTCATTTGATGCGCCTTCAGTGCATGAGCAATTATTGTAGACATTGTACTTTTCATCGAATGTTTTGCATCCAGCATGGCATGCTGAAAAATATGTTGTACTGGTCGAAAGATCACATACAGGACTGTATGAAATGTCTTCGCAATTGCAATTGTCATTACATGAAACAATCGATTGATTGAGTAGCAATGAATGGTTATTGTCACATCCCAATTGAGTATATGAAATCATGCAACACAGCGTAATTAATCCGATAAAAACATTCCAAAAGTACAGAGAAGATGCGTTTGGCTTATATTTTGTGATAATGATCCCAGCTAACATCATGCCTATCGCTTTTGCGATATTTGTAATTAGACCGGTAAAGGCACTTCCACCAGCCGCTGTTTTATTGAATTGAACTTCCATCATTCGGCCCATAAATATCGTAAAACCGAATCTTTTGAGCACGTGAAAGATCTCGCCAAAGCAATTCAGCATCATAAACTTATTTGTTAAAAGTCTCCATATCGCTTTTTGGAAATCTGAATAAAATATTGGAAAGAGGATTATTCTGGAGATACTTGGTACACGCATAGTTGATTGCATATAGCAGCTCAGGCTGAAATTCTGATAAAAAGATTTTTTCACCTTTCATTACACCGTTTTTATTCCCTTCAATTTTTGGTTTCAATTCAGTGTTATTATCAAGTTTTTCTCTATCTAATTTCGCATTTTTGGATGTCTCTTCCTTCTTTAGACTTCTTGGAAACAAACCAAATATTCCAGCAAAGAAAAAAGTTAACAGTGCAATTATAATACATCCAAGCCACCATGCACCAATCCAGCGATGATCATCTTGCGGTATAAGTGGTGTTAATGTCGGAGCGACAAAAATTCTCAGCATAACGTAAGCAAAACAGAATCCCAGAATGGGACCAAAGGATCGTAGTGATTCCCTACAAGAAAAAATCAGCGGGAAGTTGCACCCTTTAACACTATTATCAATGTAAGTTGTTCCGAGCGAAAAGAAAAGAGTCCATCCAATTCCCAGCACGAATCGCGATAAAAATATCAAAATCAGCGGAACGTATAACAATTCTTCATCACTATCATCACCGAGTATGGTGGAATTCTGGCATATTTTACTATTTTCCGGCCGATTTGGATTTGAAGCCACCTCCGACGAGATGGTCTGTATCGTGAATTGAAGTTAAACATTACAAGGCGTTGAGATTTTTATGTTTATTAATATTACTTGGTTCCATGAAGAGTATTCTTGTGTGTACTGTAGTACTTCTTCGCCCGCGCCATAAATGAAGTGTGACAATGCCACTATAAAGTATGATAATCCGTAACAAACTGCACCGAATGACAGCCACTTTGGAATATTTTTGCGACCACCAAAATATGTTAAAATCAATGATAATGTAACTTGCGATATCTCTTTGCCACTCAAAATAATCCCTGAAAACAGAAATTGGTCCATTTGATGCTTTTAATTAGGTTAAAATTAAAACACAAAACTTACCTGTTGTTTTGCTAGGAATTTTGAATTGTTTTTCAAGCGTAGTAATCGTAGTATTCAAGTAAATGACACCGGCAAACTGGATTGTTTCGAATAACGAATTAAACAATATGAACACACCTGGTTTTGCATATTTTTGCAACCATCGTGGACGCCAGTATGAAAGCCCACAACCATCCATTTTGTACAGAATTTATTCGAGATTGAAGATTTTTTCTATTTAAAAAAATATACTGAACATGTATGAATGACACGGAATGTCACTCGCGAAAACCGAACTACTAAACACAATTACTTTTGTGTTATCTATTAATCCATTTAATCGTCAAAGTACGCGATTACAAAGTTTGAAAATCAGTGTCGTCAATGTAAGTAAATCCATATTTTTTATTTATCTAATCAACTCAGACATTATAATGAGATATTTTCAGCGAGATGAATCACCTCAGCCAGATATCGTCAGGAGCTGAAATGGAGTGAAAACAAAATACTGGCTGAAAATATCTCATTATAATGTCTGAATCAACTAAACTAATATTATAAAGTGGTTGACAACCACTGGTTGTTGTAGTGATTGTATTAACCCTCTAATGCATTAATTTTTTTTCGACATGAGACTTATTTTTCTATGATTGTTTTGGTTTATAATTCCTTAAAAAAATAATCGAAATTCAAAAAATCGCATGGTTTTCTCAAAAAATGCTATTGACGAAATTCGAGAACAATCAAAACCATTGTTTAAACTGCAGTAAAACTGCTATAAACAAAGAAAATTATAATTTTTTTTTGTCAAATTTCTGTTTTCGAGTACAACCGTGTTTATAATTAAACAACCGATTTACATCCAGTTGTCAAATGACCGGAAAATGAAAGCCTGAACCCTACTGAATGTATTTTAATTCATAAATAAAATCTTTCTTTTTAATTATATATTTTAGACAATAATTTGTACACCATGCCTAAAGGCAGGGCTATGCACTAGAGGGTTAAATTCATTTAATAAAAGTAGACCTTAAAAGTAATAAAAAAAAAAAATACCGCAGACGCTTCAACTTATCCCAGCTGGGCAGCCGCTATCTAGCCAGCAGAATCATACGTCTGTTCAAAGTACATTATTTCTTAAGTGCTTTATATTGTTCAATCGAACATGTATGTCGTACAGCAGCTACCAATTGGATTTTCACTGCATTCTTATCTCTAAATTCATCGTTTCTTTATTATCTCACATTTTTTATCACTAAATTTGCAAACGATTGTGTTTGCTTTAGTCTTGCTAGCACAACAAAAATTAAAATGAGCGAAATCACAAATCTCCGTTAAAATGTGCAATAATTAATTAAAAAAAGCCAAAACTGAAAAAAAAAAACAGTTAAACTCTTCCCCATCAATAGATTTGAGCACAAATTGGAAAATTGTTCACGCCAAAAATGTAATTTCCATCATGACGTTGTAGTTTGGCGATGGATCCGCTCTTAAAGCGCAAAAATGCTTTTTCCATCTGATGCATTATTGAATCGGTCGTAATACACTCGATGGGAAAAAAACATTGAAAATTTTCTGTAAATTAATTATTTACCAGTGAATGTGAAAGTGTGTATCTGACACACACGAAAATATCATCCCACTAAAAAATGCTTCAAGTGTCGAACTAAAGTATCGAAAACGTGTATACGAATTGTATATGGCTGTTTAAGTGAGTAAAAAAGGGTTACTTATTTGGCATTTGCCGGTGCTATGCATCGAAACTATCTATCTGTACAACTTTTGAATTTGCACCGGAAAATGCGTCACTCTGTGATCCCTTTTAATTTTCTAAACGACTCTGGAGATGAACCAGTGAAAATGAACAAAAACAAAAAACAAGCCGGCTATGAATATAGCTCGCATCATCTTCATCATCATCATCGTCGTCGTCGTTACTGTTTTGCATGTAAAATTGTTCGTTCGGTTGGTTGTCTGCCGAAATCAGGAAAAGAACAGATATGCATGCTATGTTTCACGATAGTGATGTTGAGCAACCCTTTTAACGGCCACTTTTTCTTATTTTATTCCGGCAAATGGTACCGCTCCCACTCTTTTTTAATGAAATATCAAAAATACAATTTTCAAACAAAACGCAAAAACTCCATCGTTAAATGATAATGAATGATTTGCAAAAATTGCCGAGCACTTTAAATAGCAGCGCGATTATTTATTATTTAAAGTTGCGTACATGCGATGGTTGCTCTGACAACAGTGACAACCATAAATTGTCATCTTTTTCAGGTGCGTGTCATCAGCGCCACCCTGGAATTGTGCTGGCAAACCTATATATGTAAAAAATTGTGCTCGAATTGTGCTGGCGAATGCAATTGCTCCCAGGAATTGTGCTCATCTGAGTGACGAGCACAATTCGTCGAAAGTCGAAAAATCGCTGTTTTTCCAAAAATTTGTAT